CACTCTTTCTATGGTCACGCGTTAATACATCAATTCAAAGTCTGTCAATTTTCCTTTGCAATCTTTCAGCCCAAAACTACTTTCTAACTCACATATTTCCAAAATGTGAGTTGCTCAATGACACCTCTTTTTATCTATAAACCTCTGTGATTTCTATTTGGAGTACTATTTTTTGTGCCACAAAAAACGACAAAATCAAGTTTCAGACTGAGCTCAGTAAATACTGTTATGATGAAACCAGAATATATCTGGATGAAAGACGTATTGTTTCTCACTTCATGCAAATGGGTATATCTAATATAGCATCTCTATACAACCTAATAATTTAATTTCAAAGTAAAAATCACTTACACAAGTCTGTGTTGTCAGACATGAATTTTCTCTTGAGATTTTCTTGAGAGACTTTTTACTGACGGATCTTTTTAATTGACCAGAAACTCCTTCATATCTTTCATTTAGTTCAGATCCATTTGGAATTACTTTAAAGAATTCAGATTTACTGACAGTTGGAGAAAGAGAAAGGGTAGGCTTTAAACTTCTCTGAGAGCTAACAGAATCTGTTTTTCTCACAGTGGAACTCTGTGGTTTTGATAAGATGGTCTCTTCGGGGTTATGTTTGCTGTGTCCCTTATTCTTCCAGTATTCATTTCTCCATGACATCCTCTTTAATGGGATCTCTTTAAAAACTGCTGAATCAGATGTTCCTTGCCTGCTATGGCTGATCTCAAGGTTCTCAGTACCCTGGGTGAATTCATTGTTGTCATCCTGAATTTAGGAAACAAAGCAAGAGTGATTCCCTCTCATCATCACACAATACAGTTTTACATAACCTTAAAATTTCAAAATGGCTCTTCAATCTCCGCTGCCTAATTATAAGTTTGCAAGGATTCTGTAAACCAGCTGCTCTTCCTGGCAACTACATTGAGAATACCATAAACATATTCTTACATCTCAAGTAGTGAAAAGTAGAAAGTAGGAAGAGGAGGAGAGGGAGGCAAGATTACACTTTTGAAAATGTTGGCCCAAATTTAGAATGCTGGTAACCTCCCAAACCTGTGTGTTACATGATAATCATCATTTCAATAAAATTCATTACAACTGTAAACCAAAAATAAGCAAAAAGTCCATGACAATGATGTCTTTCCATTGAATTATTAATATTTCATATTTTCACATTGCATCTTCAACTTAAAATGTAGAAGGAATAACTCCTGCTGAGATCACTTTGCTCACCTCTGGTAATATCATTGAATATCATATTCAGTATCATTTGAATATCATTTAAGAATTTTGGAGGTTGGTTTGTTAACCTTATATTCATGCTTCTAACAATGTCTCTGCAAAATATCCCATGAATCAAGCATATGATGTTCACTCACACCCCATCGCAACAACAAACAGCAAGTCTGAACACATGGAAAGAAAAATAATGGGGAAGCACATCTAGTGTTTGCCTCAATGTTCTTATTCTCAAGGAAGAAAGGATGAGAGAGGCCTCATCTTCATCTCATCATGCTGGTCCTCTGCCATATGCTACCACACTGGATGTAAGGCGGTATATATTGGAAGATTCAATAAGACACCGAAATATCATCTTCACTATGCCTCTCATAGCCAAGGTGCAGTCCTACTGCAAATGAAAGCAATCCAAGTTTGTTACCGACTTCAGTGAGTCCAGGACTGGATTACACAGAACGAAATGCACATTCAAGAAAATCCCTCAATTTTATTAACGATACACGTTTTGGAAGTTTATAGTTTTACTCCCTCACTTAGTAATGTCCTTGAAACACAAATCTGTATTTCCCTCTTTTTCATGAATTTTTATTTGCCATAAGTTATCTTAAAATCTGTGCTGGAAACCCATATTAAGTTAGGTTAACTTAAGATGGAAGATTACTAAAGAAAACACTGTATTTTTTCCTCACACATTAGCGATAAATGAATAACTGATCTACCTGAAGGTTAAATCCTTTCCACCTTTCCATGTCTCTTCAGCCATACATATTTTGGTTCTAGAATAATTCGTTAAATACTAAATCATGAAATGGTGCCAGAAACATCAATCAGGTTTGCCTGATTAACTATAGTGCAGCATATGTAAACTGAAGATGAGAATGATTTTCCTGAGGAATGAGCACTTCCACTGATTTATTGTATTCCTTGAAAGAACATGCAGATGGGCAGTTCTGGATACATAAAACTGATTGCTCTTGCTGGGTTGTAATTTTAAGATCATTCTAATGACTCCAGAGGGCCACCTACTAGGAGCAGATGGGATATAGTCCCTTTGTACATTGAGCTTTAATACTGAGGTATCAGAGTGAAATTATCTATCAGCCTTTTTAAGGGTACATTATCGTATTTAATCTTACTCCTTTATTCTTTGAATCGTATAAGGACAGAAGAAGTCTCAATTTCTTCATTGAAGGCTTCACTGATGAACTTGCCTGTTACACGTAAAACAGCATTTTTGATAGCATTATATGACGTGGTCACACCTGCCACAGTCACACAACTCTTGCAAACAGCAAGAGTTCTTGGTTTTGCTCTGGGTTTGACAGAATCTGTAAATACTGCCGTGACAAGTTTAATTATACAAAGTCTCTGACAGAAATTTGAGCTGAAAGCATGGACATTCATATAATTACAAAATAAGTCACCTGATGATGAATAGTTCCAAGAGAAGATGCAATTTTTATCCTTTACTGATTATTTGACTCCGATAATTGAATAACAGCATTGAACTATTTCAGTGACTAATTAGTAACCACTAAAGGGAATTTATAAATACTTGCTGTTTTCAGTTTGCAGGTTGAAACATTTCCTCCCCAAAAGCCAAAAGTTACATAAACGATATAATTCTAGCACAGTTACTGTGCATATCTTACGGCTCTCAATATATGCAACATAAGTAGAGTCAATGTTCACTTATTTGAAATTTATCCTGATGCATAACCTGTCTCATGTTTTACAATTAAGTAAATATTTTTTGTAGATAATACTGATTTTCCACAGATTTAATAAAAAAGTACATAATTCTCCTTTGCAGCTCCACCAACTTCAAATGTAGACTATGATGAAACTGGGATTTAGCCCCTTTAACTGCAATTTTTTAATTCATGATGCAGTGACATAAAAAACCCTGTGGAAAACTTTTGGAACTTTTGGACTTTTTACCAGTCCGAGATATTTAAACTACAAAGATATGCAAAATCTTCTTTTTTTTTTTAATTAAAACTAAGTTTTACTTCTATTTTCCAGGAGAAAGGCAATTTATGCTCACATGCAATTATTTAAATTGTAGGTTGAGAAATCTATCTTATTTGATATAGTTCAAGAGTGTGTACATATCCATGTGTGTTATACACAAACACAATGTACTTGAAATTCAAAGAAAGCTGTAATGTAATGATCATGAGAAACAATAATAGTGTGAAAACCTGTAACAATGTAGCTTATTTCAGCATGTAAGATTACCACATATTTTTAAAAAGCACTGCAAGATTCAGCATAACTTAGTCAAATAAATATTTTGCCATATATTTTGCCACATATTTTGCCATGGGCTAAAGAATTTTGGTAATTTTGCAAAGATACCTTAAACTGTGCTAAAATAGATACTATTAAGTTAGCAGTCTTATGTTCAGCGATCACGGCTTTTCCAGGATTCTCTTTCCTGTATTTTCAGTGCTTGAAATAAAACTGTTTTCTAGTTTACTTCAGTAATGCAAAAGTAGAGAAATCTGAGTATTAAGTGTGTATCCAGACTATCAGTATAAAGCTGACTTCAAGAAGCAACACAGAATGTATCTGTATAAGGAAGAGGATGAATATGGGCAAAATATGACTGCTAAGTAATTTGTTGGTTCAGTGACTTCTTTCACACGAAAAAAAGGCTTAACTATGAATTACTAATTTAGTAGTTAGACTGAGAAAAAAACCTCTTGATAATTTGTTAGCATGCTGTAGATTTGTTTAATGTAATTATCTTCTAGCTTTGTAAGTCTAAGCATCTCCAGCTGCAGTGCTGATACTATTTAATGCAGTTTGTATCCACAAATAATGAATGAAACAAAGCCTGTTCCCTAGCACACCTCTGGCATGTAGTCAAAGAAAAGTTTTTAGTTTATATAATACCTTAAATCTTTTTAAAGAAGATAGGGATCTTCTATCAGTCTCTCTTGCATCAAGCCTCTAGAATCGCCATTAATGTTGTGCCCCAATGTTGTTGTTGTGCTGTAAAAGCAGGAGTACTTGGCTACTGCTTTCTCTTTGTGCGCTTGGCACTGGATCTCTGGGGTAGGACGATGGCATGGAAGGTCAGCTATCTTCTTCAATAAAGGCTTAAGCACCAGCAAAATTTAATGATTAATTTAGCTTTTGATTAATTTATAAATTTGTCTTGCTTTTAGTTCATCAGTTAAGTATGCCATATGCACTGTGTTTTGAAAGATACTTTATTTTCACTCACTTATCATAGCATAGCCTTCACTGTTTGGTACTTCAGAAATTTTCATTTGCCATTTTTACACTGTTTTGGAGACAGCTTTACAAAGGACTTCAATACCACTACCCCCCAAAAAAAACCCCAAAACCGAAACAAAACAAAACAATCAATTTGGAAACTACTGAAGCTGAGTAAATGACAGTGCTGGAAAGCTTCCATAATTCTTATGTTATGGAAATATTTTCTTAACCTAGCTTCTACAGTAATGTCCCTGGCTTTTCATGAGCATAACAGACAAAAAATAGTCTTTGAAATCGAACAGTTCTATATTTTCAGAATGGTATCCCAGATAGCACTGCTCATGAACTACTGCTTGACTAAAACTGATTTAATTCTGAAATTCTAGAACTTTATCTGAAATAACAAAGCCTTATGGGTTTAAGTTAATAAATAATACACTGCCCCAGATAACAGGAAAACTCCCACAACTACAGGAAAAAAAACTGAGAAAATTTTTATTTTTTATAATTAGCATCAGGAATTTCTCAGAAATACAGACTATAGAGCAGTATTTCTGTTAAGTCCACCTTGCTATTATGTAACTTGGTTGCATTTTATTTCTCAGCTACGAGCAACAGATTAGAATGTTAAGAAACAGATTTTATAATTAAAAATGAAATACACTAGAATGTTCATAAAGGTAGAAACTTTTAGCAGTTACTGTAATGACACAATGCAACTATTCAGTGCATTGACAATTTGGTGAGCTTCTATATAGTATCAGCTGATACATTTGTTAAAAAAATACTTATTTTCTTTCATTAATTTTATTGCTGAAAGATTTCAGAGGGTTAGAGAGGGTATACCTGCATTTTCACTCCTGTATCCAATTAGACACAGCAACCTGACAAAGACAAATCTACCTGTAGGTATATAGGGAAAAGAAGATTTATCCTCTCGGTCTACCTTGAAGACAGAATCCCATCCTAGGAGTTTTAGAATGAAGACTACTTTATCAAGAATTACATGTACAAAGTGGCCTACCTCTTCACTGCTGTCAGTTCCTTGAAAGTTATCTTCAATTTTGGTTTTCCCATGTACTCTGTTACTGTCTTGCTTCAAATCCAAAGGGAAAAGGCAACATTCTGGTGACATATTTGGCGACTTCCCATGAGGAGCTGACTGAGGTCTTGATGAAAATGTGAAAATCTCTTTATTATTCACTTGGTGATCACCTGTTTCATTGCTGTGATGTTCAACAGAGGCATTCTGTGGTGAGGTTAAATTATGGCAGGCTGAATCTTCAGTAGCTACGAACTGCTCACTCCTATCCAACTGAATACTCTCAGTACAACTTTCTGGAAACACCCATTCATCTGAAACGTACAATGTTTATTTTAATGCCAGATATGTAAATTGT